GATCTCCCACCTCTGTGCAGCCAGTGGCCTGTGCTCCCAATGCCATGCTAGAGCCTCCATGTTTGTTTGACAAATAAAATTTGCAGAATTTTAAAATATTGTGCGCAGAATTTTTTAATTGGCACATAATTCCCTCAGGAGTAGAGAGTTTTGGGAATGCTTTGAAGTATGTGCCTTGCATTGCTCTCTAGCAACCCCTTCTAGATGACTTAAGGAATGGTGTTGGTTACACTAGCAGGGAGTGGGTTGCTACAATGTAGGGCTGTTGGAAGGAGAAAATATTGAAGATTTATTATGGGAGGGGGGGAATGGTGATGGGAAAGCAAAGTAGGAATAGCTTCAGTATCCCATTACTTAGTTCCTCACTCAGTATCTCAGTTCAGACTTTGTCACAAAAATGACAGATGTTGGTGTTTTTCCTTTGGCTCTGGAGAAGTTGTGAAGAATTAGCAGCTCACTAAGTGTGATCCTTTACCTGTGTCATCCTACCTTCTTCCTGGATCTGCCTCTTGCATCTCTGGATATCTGGAATAATGGCTACACAAACATAGGAACGTGCTAGTATATTAGTAGTTAGGATTTAGCTCTTGGGGAGTAGCAGATTAGTGAGTGCAGGATCAAGGCCCGAGACAAAGCTAATGAAGCGCCTCCCTCCCCGCGCCCCTCCCCCAATTTCAGTAGGTATATAATCAGGCTCTAAAACAAGGGTTAAAATAGGAAAATGCAGGTGGCACTGCCCTGGCTGTTTCTAGGAATGGAGATGGCTTTTGCTTTGAAATAAACCAGTCTTGCCACATTTCTAGCTGCACTTTCCTACAGTTGGAGACTGCCTCTTGGTATGTAATAGGAAGCCTACTCCCCTCCAATGAAATAAGAAACAAAAGTAGTGCCTTCTCTTGGGGACTAGTAAGAGGTGCAGAGCATTGTGTACATTAAGGCAATGGAACAGACTTTATGATCTGAAAAAGCGAATATAAGGAAAGCAGTGGATACCCTGAGAACATGAAGCACAGAGCAAAATATCTTTTTAAATGCAAGGGACTTGTCAACCTGATCAGGCCCCGCTATGTGCATTGATATCTATCCAGCATTCTGGGAGTTTTTTCTAGTGTCGTGCTGCCCTCTGCATACACCACTTCATTGTGTGGCGGTCTCTGAGAAACTGGAAGATTCTTGTCCTATCAGGTTTTCATTCACATTCTTGTTTTGTGTGAAGGTGTGAAAATAACATTGCTTTTTTGTTTATTTTTTATTCTATCTCTGCATCATTGATATCTGGACCGCTCTAAAAGGAGGGCTTATGTATAGTTAGTGTATTTTAAGTAGCTGTGCAAAAATTAGTGCTGGGTGGTGGGGGTTTTTTGTCTAAGTATCTCTCACTTTGTGTTTTGAAAATCCCAGGCTAAAGAGCACCTGAATGACTTAGGAGCATAAGTCCCATTGAAAGTGCTTCTAAGACACTTAGATACTACCCAAATTTTTATCTCTGCCTCCTTTATATATGGACAATAAAGCTGAATATTGTACATGAGCTGAATATTGGTGAGTAAAGGAAAAGAAATCACAAGCTGTGAAACAATAGCTCATGTAAGACTTAATCTATTTCAGTTAACTGCCTGGTCAGATCATTCATTGACGTAGCTTTAACTTGTGGTGTTGGCAAGAGGCCAAATGATTCTTGTTACCTTGTAGGAAATTTTATATCAAATCCATATCTGCATTAGTGTGTTTCACACTGCTCTAGCCCTGCAGTAGGAACGCTTAAAGTTCGTTCTACTTCCTATGAGTAGAATCGGCTCTTCTCAACAGGGGGTGACTTGAAAAAATGGTTCTGTGAATGATGCCTCCTTGTCTACCTCCGTTTTCCATGGCATCTCTTAAGTTATTGCAAATGAATCCTTGAAACATTTTAATAAGACCTTTTGGAACTCTGAGCTTTTGGGGGAATGGGCTTTTTGGGTGAGGATCACTGTTTGGGTGCTACTGCAACACAACGCGAAAGTGAGAAACAAAGTCCCAAGTCCGTGCTAGATCCCCATTTTGCAAATGACAGTCCATGCCCCAAAGAGCTTACAGGATAATTTTGAATCTGGTAGGTGAGGCAAATAAGAGGGAAGGATAAGGAAAATAAGAGCATGCAGTTACATAGCTTAGCTCTCAGTTCCAGATGGCTCCAGATTATCAAAGCTTTAAAATAAATTCGCTACCCCTGACAAATGTGTTCCATGGCCATCATTGGTTCCCTGATTTCTTCTAAACATCATAGAAGTGGGATTTGGGGGAGGAGAGAGTGGTGGCCTTGTAGATTAACTCACATGAGGAGTTCCATGCAGCCCCTTATGCCGGGAAAGAATCATGTGGATGTTTGTGGAACAAGCAGAGAAATGGCCATTCAAGGCTAGTATAATTGGTAGAGCAATGGGGCGGGTGCAGCATGGTAACAGGAGCAGATGCGTACGGAGGGCCGAAGTTGTAAAGGGCCTTGAAGATGAGGACAGGTTTTAATTTGGCGCAGTGCGGAGCCAGTAGAGGATTGGAAGTCGGGATGACATACTTTCATAAAAGTGTAGGGTTGGAAGGGACCTCGAGGTTGTCTAGTCCATCTGCCTCAGCAAGATGGGGACCAAGTAAACCTAGACCATCCTGGACACACGTTTGTCTAACCTTTTTGTTAAAAATCTCCAACAAGAGAGATTCCACAACCTCCCTTGGTAACCTGTTTCTGTACTTAAATGTCCTTATAGTTAGAAAATTTTTCCTACTATCTAATGAGTATCCATCATGGCCAACGACAGGCCTGGAAGAGTATTTACAGCTGTTAAAATCAGAATAATTGAATCTTACATTCCTGTCAGTCGTGATACTGGCAAAAGAGGAGTTAGCATGTACTCTTTTGGGCTTCTTCCAGATACTATAATAAATGTAATGTCATCAGTGTGTCTGTGTGAAGTTGCTTCTCCTCAACAAGGGATAGGTGTCTTAGTGCATAGGTGAACCTTGCAGTGATACCTTGGGGTAGTTTTGGCTCCATAACTTTAGGAGAAAGAGGAGGGTAGGAATCTTTTTTCCTAAACTAAAAATCAAGATTGTTCTTCGGGTGTAAATCTTCCTTTGCATTATTTCAGGGGTCGGCAGCCTTTCAGAAGTGGTGTGCCGAGTCTTCATTTATTCACTCTAATTTAAGGTTTCACATGCCAGTCGTACATTTTAACGTTTTTAGAAGGTTTTCTATAAGTCTATAATATATAACTAAACTATTGTCATATGTAAAGTAAATAAGGTTTTAAAAATGTTTAAGAAGCTTCATTTAAATTTAAATTAAAATGCAGAGTCCCCTGGACTGGTGGCCAGGATCCGGGCAGTGTGAGTGCCACTGAAAATCAGCTCGCGTGCCGCAGGTTGCCTACCCCTACTTTGTTTCTAACCAAGACTATGCAATGTATTGTGTAAATGCCTGAGAACCTGAAAGTGAAATTGAGCATGTTCTTATTGTCTAAGCAGAGTTAAATGGAAATGACAAAAAGGTAACTAGACTCTCAAAATTCCTCCAGTTCTGAAAATCTGTGGCAAAGATTACTTAGTTAAGAAAACATCAAAAAGCCATTTTTACCCTATTAGCGTCCCTTTCATTTAAACCGCAATGTGTCCGAAGTCTGCAGTTCCTTCCAATGTGATACCCATTCATTAGTGCTACTCTTAGTCCCAAGGTTAGGTAAGTAGACCTCAGTTTTTATGTATAAACACTATACCATTCCTTTAAGAGAGTTATCCTAATTTACTTTAGTTAGTGCCCATTGTGTGTGTGAAGTGACATGATGGTTTTGGGGTACTGAGCGCGGCACAAAACCTATTGGACCTGTAGGTCCTCGTTCTTGAAGGACGAAGGACCTCGTTCTTGAAGCATCCTACAGATGGAGAGAGTTGTTAGTCAAATGTTTGTATTTTGTAGCAAGGTGAATATTAAAGAATGTTAACACAAGCATTATGATTAAGGCTATGTTTTAGTCATGGGTATTTTTAGTAAAAATCACGGACAGTAAACAAAAATTCACGGCCTGTGACTAAAACTTGGGGACCTGGGATTCCTGCTGGGGTGGCGCGTGGCCCAGGACCTCTGCTGGCTCTCTACCTGGCTCTGTGCCTCCCTTCTCTCCTCCTCTTCCTCTTCCTCCTCTCCCCACTCCCCCCCGCACACAGCAGCAGTTGGGGCACAGGATGGGGTGGGGTGGGGCGGGGAACTTCGGCCAGTGGGAGCTGCAAAGCCAGCGCTCTGGGTGGAGGCATCGCACAGAGCTGTCTGGCCATGCCTCTGCCTAGCAGCTGAGCAAGGGGGATGTCGCCACTTCCAGGGAGCCCCCAGGTAAACACCACCCAGCGCCCCCTCATCCTATCCTGTGCCCCTTCCCCCTCTCACACCCAAATTCTACTGCGGGGGCACAGTGGCCCAAGACTGCCCCAGCAGTGGCCAGTGCCCCTGGTGTAGGGGCTGCCTGCCGCTGTGGAGGTCACAGAAAATCACGGAATCCGTGACCTCTCTGATGTGTTTGCATCAGGCGTGACCTTATGTTGATTTGCTGTGAGGTAGGCTGGATTTCTGATGGTGCACATTCTATCAATGCTGACAGTTCTGAAGGGTATTCTTCAGCTTCCTGGGATGCCTGATGTCTGTTTTCCCAAACAACTCCAGTCTATAAGTGGTATGTGATACAGTTTGTGAACTTCTTCCATTGAAAAGTGCAATGAATTGTGCTGAGGAAATCCAGCATTCACTCTGCCTTCCCTTTGTCAGATACCTTTGAGATCTCCTTAGGCAAGATGCTTCTCTATCTTTTCCTATACTTCCTCTAGGATCTTGTTGACCAGGATTATATAATAAATTAATACAAAACTGAGCACATCAGAGAGCTCTGGAATATAGACCGTATTGTCTGTTCATGGTGTCACCATTGAACTAAAGTTCTTGTGTATGAGCACTAACTATTGAATCTTTGCTGTTACAGGTACAAGTCCAGGTCCAGCAGTCCCCGCAACAGGTCTCTGCCCAGCAGCTCTCTCCCCAGCTCACTGTCCACCAAGCCTCAGAGCAGCCAATACAGGTCCAAGTTCAGATCCAAGGCCAGGCACAGCAGCAGGCATCCCAGACAATACAGAGTCAGTCTCTTCAGAGCCCTAGCCCATCTCAGCTGCAAGCAGCTCAAATCCAGGTGCAGCATGTACAGACTGCCCAGCAGATCCAGGCCACTGAGATCCAGGAGGAGCACATACAGCACCAGCAGATCCAGGCCCAGCTTGTCTCTGGACAGGCCATTGCTGGTAGCCAGCAGATCCAGATCCAGACAGTTGGGGCACTGTCCCCTCCACCTTCTCAGCAAGGCTCACCACGGGAAGGCGAACGGCGGATCAGCACTGCTAGTGTCCTTCAGCCAGTGAAGAAGCGTAAAGTAGATATGCCTATTACTGTGTCATATGCTATTTCAGGGCAGCCAGTTGCCACAGTGTTGGCCATTCCTCAAGGCCAGCAGCAGAGTTATGTATCTTTAAGGCCAGACTTATTAACAGTGGACAGTGCTCACCTATACAGTGCCACTGGGACCATTACTAGCCCCACTGGAGAGACTTGGACCATCCCTGTTTACTCAGCTCAGCCACGTGGTGACCTTCAGCAGCAAAATATAACCCACATCGCCATCCCCCAGGAGGCCTACAATGCTGTCCACGTCAGTGGCTCGCCAACAACACTGGCTGCTGTGAAGCTGGAGGATGACAAGGATAAGATGGTGGGAGGTGCATCTGTAGTGAAAAACTCACAGGAGGAAGTGGTGCAAACTATCGCTAACTCACTCTTTCCAGCACAGTTCATGAATGGCAACATCCACATTCCAGTGGCAGTGCAGGCCGTGGCAGGGACATACCAGAATACAGCTCAGACGGTGCACATATGGGACCCGCAGCAGCAACAGCAGCCCACACCCCAAGAGCAGGGGCAGCAGCAGCAGCTCCAAGTGACTTGTTCTGTGAGTAAAACTGCTTCCGTTATGCCTGCCCTTGATTTTAATGACATGTTGATGGTGTGGGAAGAGAGATGCTGTCTGTCAGGTATCCTGTGCTTCATAGGATCCTTCTAAATATTACATGTGACACTGAGCATTTGACCAGTCCCCAGCTGTGCATTTGTGTCACGTCAGTCACTTTGGACAGGGGCATGATTATGGCAAGAATCAGAAGGTGAAACTGCTGTTGTGGCCTCTAGTGTAAATGAGGCAGTATACTTGTAGCAGGTATTCTTAATAGTTCAGTACTCTCCTGTGCTGAGTTAATGTTCTGAGCTGTTCTAGTTACTCTATTGGAATAGTTAGAGCCCCACCGCAGTGGAACTAATGTGATACACCAGACGCTAGCCACTTCACCAGTCACTTTGAATCACTCCGCTCAGAGTAGCGCAAGACACTTGACAGAGAGCTGAGGGTTTGATGGCTGGTCAGCTGATGAAACACATCTCACTGATGATCAGATGTACCAGTCTGTCTCTGCGCCATGCCCTGTTTCTAGTCAATGCCTGGTGTGCAGGAATACAGACGCCATATGAATGAGAACTGGAAACTAATTTAATTTAAACAGTGTCTTTTTTTAGAGTGCTTGGTGTACACAGTGGCCAAAAATATTGCTGTCTTTACAGGGAAATAGGGGAGCCTCAGAGCCGAACCTCTTGAAAAACATTTTTATGTTTTAGCTTTTTTAAATTTCATAAATCCTTTTGTATGTAAATGTCTGTTACTACACGCATACAGACAATGCCCGCTCTGAACATTGTGGTAGTCCACGAGAACAAGAAAGTGACTAGTATGTCACTAACTGAATTGCAAAACCCATGCCCAAAAATCCACCAGCATAAATGTTTTTAGAGAAGATTTTTAAAACTTAAGATGCTAGTAACAAAAGCAAGGAAGCAGCATTTAAAAAATAATTTAAACTTGACTGCAACCTTAATTCCATAATGCACGTGGTGGTGGGAATATCCCTTCCTTCTTGCTAGGTATCAGACTAATAGCCGTATGCCTCTGTGGTTTTCATAGGATGAAATCCAGGCTCTATTGAAGTAAATAGGAGTTTTTCCACTCACTGCAGTGAAGCTAGGATTTCACCCATAGGTTTTAAGGTCAGAAGGGATCATTTTAATTAATCTTTATCTGACATCCTGCATAACACAGGCCATAGAATTTCACCAAGTGATTCCTATAACTTCTGGTTGAGGTAGAGTATCTCTTTAAAAGGATATCCAGTCTTGATTTAAAAGAACCCACCACATCTCTCAGTAAGTTCTAGTGGTTAATTACCCTCATTAAAACCTGCCTTATTTCTGGTCTAAATTTGTTTAGCTTCAGCTTCTAGCCATTGGATGTTCTGCCTTCATCTGCTAGATTACAGAGCCTCTGATATCCAGTCTCCCCCAGCCTCCCATGTAGTTACTTTAGACCGTGATCAAGTCACCTCTTAACCTTCTGTTGGAGAAACTAATAGGTTGAGCTGCTTTAGCCTCTCCCTGTAAGGTAGATTTTTCCAGATCTCTAGTCAGTCTTGTAGCTCTCTTCTGAACTCTGTCCTATTTGTTGACATCTTTTGGAAGTGTGAACCCAAGAACTGGAAGCAGTGTTTCAGGAATGGTCTGACTAACCCCTCCTACAGGAGTAATAACACCTCCCTACTTCTACTTTGCATTCCTCTGCATAGCGGTATAGCACACCTAATAGCAATGTTGGCTGTTTACTACTAATTGTACCTTCTTGGTCTGCTGGGGAATAGTGTGTCCCCTCTAGTGCCAGGAATTTCTAGGCAAGTCAGAATTCAGTCTTCCATTTTAGAGGAAGGGTGATAAAGCTGCCAGGATGACTAAACCTCTGTCCTTTTGGGCCTGTCCTGAGGCCCACCTGTAGAGTTATCCGATTAGATTATTACTGGGAAGGAAAGGGTGGGTTCTTCTGAATGCCCTTTGCTGCTGTAGGAGTATCATGAGGAGTTTAACTTGCTACTGCTGTGGAATGAACTCCTCAGAACCCAGAGCTTTTCCCAGTACTTTGTACTCCCCATTCACCTGCTTCTGCATCATTGATATCCCCCCCCCCCCCCCCGAACCATCTAGCTGCTGGCTGGCTGGGCTGGTATGTTGTTCACGAGTAAGGAAAAATAGAAGCATGTCAATCAGTTCACTGCACTGGAAATTGCTTTTTACCCCAGCCTGATTGCCAGCCCTCAGACTGAGAGTGATTGTGAGGTACTTGCAGGAAGATAGCCAGTGCTCTTCTTCTGCTAGACTAAGTGGCAGTGAAAACTTTATCATTTCATGGGGAGCAAGGAGACAGCATTCAAGAAGTCGGTCTGCAAATGTGGAGGCCGTGCCTCGCCCCTGAGCTCTCTTTCCCCAAGACCGTTGTTTGTTTGTCAAGTTAAGCTTCATCCCTGTCTGCCCTGATGGTAAAAGCAGAGCCCCTTCAATTAAAGGACTTGGTCTCAGATTCTGCCCTAGCTCCACTTTCTGTAATATAGGTGCTGTTGTGTAAACAGCAGGTGATGCAGGAGAGCTGACACAGGGATGCACTCAGTCTGTCTAAAAACTCATATCTGAGATTATTACAGGGTTTGTGCCTTTAGCAGACTTGCTTTTCATTGATGGGTAATGCTGTGGATTTCTCCCTTGTAAACCTTGCATTGTATTCACCATAGTTCTGTGGAGCTTCACAAGAACGAGACTTCCAAAGGAAAGCACGTCCGCAAACATACTTTGAGTGATTTTTTTTTTATTTTTTCTTTTTGGTGATACCAAATCAAGGAATTTATTATCTTAATTGTAGCAACTCTTCCAGTGCATGTGGCTCCCCTTTTAACTTGCCTTTTCCCTTCTCTGATGGGAGTAGATGTGAAAAGGGGGCCCTGTATTGGCTAAGAATCCCTCACTTGTAAATTTTCAAGGTAAATGAGATGAGAATACAGCCCTTAATCAAATGAACAATTAAAGCTTTGTCTGAATCCTATTAGCTTTCAGTTCAAGTAAATACAAAAGCTCTGTATGAGGAGGAGGAAGTGTAGAAGGGGATTAAGTGTATCCCTTCCTGTACTGCTTGTAAACAAGGGTCAACTTGCATAGGTGGTGCTGGATGAACAGGTTGGAGTGACTGACTGCACATAGGGCACCATGTTGTGAAATAATGTCTGCTGCTTGTGGTGACAAAGCTTTGACTCTGGGGCCCTATTGTCAAGGGAAGACTCCTCTTGCCGTGTTTTTGTTAAACTTCCCAATAGATGCTGTGATGTTTTCCAGAATACATGCATAGATTAGCAGCTAGTTTTTCTGTAGGTTGGAAGCAGTATCCTGAATTGTTAGTGAAATTGCCTGGCATTTTAGTATCAGTGATTTGAGTGTCACTAAATATGAAAAAACCTATTCATAAGGTAACAATATGCAATTCTGAGACACTTGGCAATTGACAGATGAAATGGAGATTTTCACATTATCTGCCTTTTTAAAGAGGGACCATATTAAAGGTGGTAGATATCCCTATGTAGATTGCATGGTGTCTCTGTTCTCTAGCTGCTCCTTCATGTAAATAGGTGAAACTGACACAAGCATCCTATTCTTTCAGGATAAGGATGGAGTAGGCTGTCAACAGGACACCACAATGTACCTGTATGTTATAAGGTAGCTAGAGCCTGGCTTTTCTAGTGGTCTGTTGTGCACCTGGGATTATAACAGTGTTGCAACTGTTTTTGTGTGTTAATTGCTTCAGAATAAAGACAGGTTTCAGAGTAGCAGCCGTGTTAGTCTGTATCCGCAAAAAGAAGAGGACTACTGGCAACTGTAGAACATAGCTGGTAAAGTGGAGAGAAGATGCCCTTCTGATAGAATAGAACTGAAAAGTTTATTTTTTTTTTTTTTTAAAAAGTGTTGCCACCTTGCTACTGTCTCCCACTAGAGGGCAGCCTTTCTCTCTCAAAGCTCCAAATACCTGAGACCAATCCTCAGCATGCGCTGTTCTGCTGTTAACTCTACATCTAATACAATGGTTTTTGAAACACTGTTTATGCTAACTGTCCCCTGTCAACCAGGGAAAAAGTGATGAAGCTAAAAGGACCTGATAAATCAATAGATTCACCCATTCTATTCATGAATAGAGGAAAAAATTACTCTGAGAGGATCTGTGTCCTATAAAGTTCTTTACCTTTGGTGAAAATTATTTGCCTCTGTGTGCATGCGTAAGTAAAATATAAATGATCTTTATGATCTGGATGAATGGCTGGGAACACTTCTTCTGGAAAATTTTGCAATACTGGTTTAAACTACCCACATGGAATGGACTGGAGGCTTTTCAAAATACCTGCCTGAAGTGAAAATGAGCTGGTCTTGGGGATCAGAGAATATTTTGGGTTGTTCACGCATGATCACTGATATGACACTAAAGTCCTCCTTTTAGGTTTATATACCATGCCTGTCACTGAGATATGAGTGAGTTGCTAGTCATCATGGCAACATTCACTACTGGGAGTGAGGAGATGGTGCTCCAAGACAAGAAAAATGAGGCAAAGAAGAAATGTCCTGTTTTGGTTTCCTTGTTGCATCTCGAAGGAAACGTGACTAGAAGTGGTTTTCTTTCACAGGCTCAAACTGTTCAGGTAGCTGAAGTGGAGCCACAGCCACAGCCTCAGCCTTCACCTGAACTCTTGCTTCCGAACTCCCTGAAGCCAGAAGAAGGGCTCGACGTGTGGAAAAGCTGGGCACAGACCAAGAATGCAGAGCTGGAAAAGGAGTCTCAGAACAGGCTAGCCCCTATTGGCAGTAAGTGTCAGGGGAGGGGGTTATCTGGCATGGTATGTTTTACTCCAGGTTTTCACCACTAGAAGTTGGTTTCAAGTAGGGATCAGGTAGCAAATGAAACAAGACTACACTTGGTTCAGACTAGAGCTACCTATCTAGTTTTCCTAAGGTCCAAATCTCTCTCAACCCTTCCTTCTACCCTGATTTCAAGGATCATTTTCCTGTTCAGCAGAACCACTGCAATGTTCCATCTCTTTTTTGTTAGGAAAACTCTTCTGGTTTGAATGGTGATTGTAGTTTGGGATCTCAAGTTCAATTTGTCACAGTGTAATGGTTAGGCTTGGCAGAATTGAACTTCTGTATCTATAAAACTTTAAAGGATAATATTGATTATTGTAAAGTGTGTTTCCCTAATTTTTATTTAACTTTCACAGTTGTAAGAAATCCTGGGGGGCACAGCACAGTAATTATTTAATAACAGTAGTCATTGAGATTCAAAAAAATAACTTTTCAACCATTAAACACAAATTGTCAACATCACGTTAAAGCATACACAAATAATATCCTTAAATCAAACTCAAAGTATGAAATGCTGCTTACCTATAAATTTCAATGATTATCAATGGAAATATTTTTCATTAGTTTGTCTGTGTACAGTGAAATCGACATTTACCAAATAAAAATCTAATCCTTCCAAGCCTAAGAATGGTTTCTTTGGCAGCTGCATCATGAAACATTCCAAGAAGTATTTGTGTTCCATATTGAGCTACTAGCTCAGGAACGTAGTTTGGTGGCCGCAGATGGATGAGTTACAGGAACAAAATAGCCCCATACACCAGCTACTTAATGAATCAGCAAATGCTGTTATATTTTTTTTTCTGGCTTTCCCATTGCTGTAGGAAAAATGTTTCATTGTGGATAATATAGGAGATGATCTTCATGTAGAATGAGTGGTGCTGGTGTCAGTTTTCTCTAAATGTCTTTCTCTGCTTCCGAGTTGATTTATGAATGCTTAAGGTCTCCATTGCTCCCACTGTTGATCTTATGGTGGGGCATATGATGTGCTATGGGAGCTGTTCAGAAGTGGGGAGAGCATATTGGGAGGGAGGGGTGGACAGTAGTGAAATGGAAGATTATGCTTGAAAAATGGAGTCTGCTTTTTTTAAGCAAATTGATCATGACATTTTTGCTTTGCAGGACGCCAGCTGCTGAGATTCCAGGAAGATCTCATCTCCTCTGCTGTGGCTGAGTTGAATTATGGGCTATGCTTGATGACACGAGAAGCTCGCAATGGTGAAGGTGAACCATACGATCCAGATGTACTCTACTATATCTTCCTGTGTATTCAGAAGGTAGGATCTCTTATTTCTTTCTTCTTATTTTATGTAGGGTGCACGCAACAAAACTGCATATGCTGTGATCAGACAGTGTTTGTAGGTAGCTTTCTCTTTGTAAGACCTAGAATGATGGTGGCAGTTGCTATTAATTTCAAGCTCTCCAGCTTTGTTTTATATATGGAATAGTGAATGAATTTGGGAAACCTCTTCTGTGTTTGATGGAACATGCAACTTTAAGAGTGGACAGTTGGAGGGAGGATTTTTTAAAGGGATACCAGCATGCAATTAAAAACAAAATAGTTGCTATTAACGGAATGAAATAATGTGGTGAGAATTTAATGGGAAAGTTTTTTCAAGCAGAGTGTAATGCTCTAGACCTAGTCTGTCCTGCTTAAAATCATTGTTTCAGCTTTGACTTGCCTGAACTGTGAATGGAGGCTTATTGCTTGGTATAGAGAAGAAAGAATCTGGGTTTGCAACAGTATTTTTCTTTTATTCAACAAAGTGAGAGGATATTTGTACCCTAAAGAAACAATCCCAGTGCATGCAGGGCAATAATTTAAATGAAAATTTCAAATAAACTCATCCTTTTGTAAATAGCTGAGGGCCAGCCACCTTTGCTTTTAAGACTCTTCCTCTTTTTTGTTATCCACTCATGCAGCCGTAATTGATTGATTTTTTTTTCTGGGGCACTGTCATCAGTACAGGGGTATTTGTACTCTTCAAGGTGCACTCTGTGGAACCTCCCCAGCAAACGACGACTACAATAACACAGGAAATACATAAGCCTGACTAGTGCCTGGGCCTTGAGCCTGGGAGGGGGCTCATTCCATCCCAAAGAGAGAGGTCCTCTGCCGGAGTTTGCTTGATGCCATTATATCAGACTGTGTTGTGAATGTCTTTTTCAGTATCTCTTTGAAAACGGACGAGTAGATGACATTTTCTCAGATCTCTATTATATACGGTTTACCGAGTGGTTACATGAAGTTCTCAAGGATGTACAGCCCCGGGTCACCCCTCTTGGTAAGCACCTTTTCTCTGCTTTAGGAAGGGGCCTCTCACATGCTGGGGTAGGGGTGGGATTCAAGAGAGCTTTAAGCTTGCTGGTGTCGTCGTGTTTCTGAAAGCTGTGATTAGAACAGAGATGGGCAAACTACGGCCCGGGGGCCACATCCGGCCTTCCAGATGTTTTTAATCTGGCCCTTGAGCTCCCACTGGGAAGTGGAGTCTGGGGCTTGCCCCACTCCACATGGCTCCCGGAAGCAGCAGCATGTCTCCACTCTGGCTCCTACGCGTAGGGGCAGCCAAGGGGCTTTGCATGCTGCCCCCACCCCAAGTGCCACCCCCAGAGCTCCCATTGGCCAGAAACCACAGCCAATGGGAGCTGCAGGGGCAGAGCCTGCGTGCAGGGCAGCATGCAGAGCCACCTGGCTGTGCCTCCGCATAGAAGCTGGAGTAGGGACATGCTGCTGTTTCTGGGAGCAGCTTGAGGTAAGCGCCGCCCAGAGCCTGCCCTGACCCCCTCCCATGCCCCAACCCCCTTCCCCAGCCCTGACGCCCTCCAAACCCCTTGGTCCCAGCCCGGAGAACCCTCCTGCACCCCCAACTCCTCAGCCTTCCCCCCCCCCCCCCGAACCCTAACCCCCAATTTTGGGAGCATTCATGGCCCACCATACAATTTCTATACACAGATATGGCCCTCAGTCCAAAAAGTTTGCCCACTCCTGGACTAGAAACTGATCTGAAGAAACACTTGAGCAGAGGAACATTCCTTAACTTTCACTGAGCGGGGAGGGAAGTTCTCCAAAGCCTGCAATAAGTACAAATATTTTTGAGGGTTTTGTGCACCAGACTCCCATCCTGACTTCTTTTTTAAGGGTTTAGTTAGGCTTGACTCTGTGTACCATTTAACTTTTTAAGGGGTTCTGAGAACTGGTTAATCTTTCGGATGTTGGGAGTGTGGGGTTGATGCCCCTTCTAAGGAATGCATGAGTTGTTGAGCAGAGATGGATTCATAAATGGCAGATGAAATTCGACGTTGATAAATACAAAATATTGCACATTGGAAAACAGAATCCCAACTATACATATAAAATGATGGGGTCTAAATTGTTACCACTCGAGAGAGAGCTTGGAGTCATTGTGGATAGTTCTCTGAAAAATCCACTCAGTGTGCAGCAGCAGTCAAAAGCAAACAGAATGTTAGGAATCATTTAAGAAAGGGAGAGACAAGACAGAAAATACCATATTGCTGATATATAAATTCTTGATACGCCTGTGTCTTGAATACTGCGTGCAGATGTGGTTGCCCCATCTCAAAAAATATATTGGAATTGGAAAATGTTCAGAAAAGGGTGACAGAAGTTATTAGAGGTAAGGAACAGCTTCCATATGAGGAGAGATTAATAAGATTCAGACTTTTCAGCTTGGAAAAGGAACAATTAAGGGGGGGATATGGTAGAGGTCTGTAAAATCATGACTGGTGTGGAGAAGGTAAATAAGGAAGTGTTATTTACTCCTTCTCATAACACAAGAACTAGGGGTCACCAAAGGAAATTAATAGGCGGCAGGTTTAAAACAAACACAAGAAAGTATTTCTTCACACAACGCACAGTCAACCTGTGGAACTCCTTGCCAGAGGATGTTGTGAAGGCCAAGACTATAACAGGGTTCAAAAAAGAACTAGGTAAGTTCATGGAAGATAAGTCCATCAATGGCTATTAGTCAGGATGGGCAGGGATGGTGTCCCTAGCCTCTGTTTGTCAGAAGCTGGGAATGGGCAACGGGATGGATCACTTGATGATTACCTGTTCTGTTCATTCCCTCTGGGGCACCTGGCATTGGCCATTGTTGGAAGACAGGATACTGGACTAGATGGACCTTTGGTTTGACCTAGTCTGGCCATTATTATGTTCTTATACTACCTCCTAGTGGCTTACCTCTGGTGTTCATGAGGCAGGCGATCTGATCTGAATTGGCAATGCATTTTGCTTTGAGTGCCACTGATGAGAAACTAGAGCAGCTTCAAGTGATAAAACCAGAGATTTGCCCTAAGGCTTGGCTTGTTCTGAAGCTTAGTGGATTTTGGAATCTATTTGTGGGTGCTTTTAGGCAGAGCCTTGGAGATGTTGCAGCCAAAAACTTCTGAATATTATACCCTTCATTCAGAGTAGGGTCGGGGGGTGTGTGGGCTTCACTGTGTACATGGGAGTGTCAACTTGTTCATGCAAGGTCTGTTCCTTTATGCCGTTGCTGCAGTAGGGAAGATTACACCTATTCACATGAGAACTAAAGGATCACATTTTCAGGGAACAAATCTGTTTCTTCAGATTTTTATTCCTCTTGCTCTTAGTTTGGTCTGATCATCTGTCAATCCGTTTTACATTTGTGTTCAGATACTTCTGCTTAAATAGTGTGGTGGATTTCAGATCCTCTTTTTCCCTCTGCCTGTTTGATTTATTCTTTATTCTCTGTGCCATTGCATGAGCTCTGGGGTTCATACTGTTTGTGGTGGTGCTGTGTATCTAAGTGTTTGGAGTGAAGAATTACTCTTCTGTACAAGGGAAAATCAAAAGAGTGGACACCTCCAAATAGTGTGTTTTGACTCTGTACGTTGACTGAGGATGCACATAAGGCCAACAGCTCAATTTGTTCCATTCCATCAGCTTGCTCACTCTTGCTGATTAAAGGTTGATATAAAAATGAGCAACTCTGAAATGGGAGAATTAATCTGTTTTCCCTTCCCCAAGGAATCTCTTTTTATAGTATGTATCCCTGAAAGTGCCTCTTGTGTTCATATTGTAACTTGGTCGGTGATGCTGACTTCTGATTGTTGCAGGTTATGTCCTCCCCAGCCATGTAACAGAAGAGATGCTGTGGGAGTGCAAGCAACTGGGAGCTCACTCCCCTTCCACCTTGCTCACTACGCTGATGTTTTTTAACACAAAGTAAGTATTTGGGGCAGTTGATTTAAAAGCCAAGGAACTTCCAGCATCCTTGAGAGGACTGACAGGAAACTGTATTGGACTAAGATGTGGCCATTGCTTTTTAATGGTTAGGGACATGGGAGCAAAAAGAAAAGGAGTACTTGTGGCACCTTAGAGACTAACCAATTTGAGCATAAGCTTTCGTGAGCTACAGCTCACTTCATCCGATGAAGTGAGCTGTAGCTCACGAAAGCTTATGCTCAAATAAATTGGTTAGTCTCTAAGGTGCCACAAGTACTCCTTTTCTTTTTGTGAATACAGACTAACACAGCTGTTACTCTGAAACCGGACATGGGAGCAAATCCCAGAGCAGTCCCTTTATACAAGAAATTACATGCAGTGAAACAAGGAAGTGAACTAACAAAGAGAAACCTGGACTTGCATCTGCCTTTTCTTGTGTTCTACTGCTCAGAATACCACCTGACTTTCAAATGCTGGTTTGAACCCTGGCTGGCTCATAGACAGTAAATATCGCCATTTCACTGTCGGATGAAAGGCTAAGTAAGGCTTTGTTTGCCCCATAAATGTCCTGTGTCCTCTTCTCGCTGCTCAGGTACTTCCTGTTGAAAACGGTAGACCAGCACATGAAGTTGGCCTTCTCCAAGGTTTTGAGGCAGACCAAGAAGAACCCTTCCAATCCCAAGGATAAGAGCACGAGTATCCGGTATCTGAAGGCACTTGGTATACACCAGACAGGCCAGAAAGGTAAAGTGTACATGAGAGGAGAAGCAAGCCTTCTTGAGAATGTCTGGGATTGACTGACCTGGTCTGTTTGTACTAGTTTTATGAAGAGCCTTGCAGGTGCCTTCAGGTGAGGTGCAAGAAATCAATGTTTTTGACAATAAGATCCTCCCCCAGTAGCTCAGTGATCAGAGGTAAAGCACATCTATGTGTTCTGTGAGCACATGATGTCTTCTGACCTAGGCTTGAGTGGCTGTGAGGCACACAGGCCTCCCAGCAGACGGGTTGGGGATTGGTTTCCAGTCCAACTCTCCCAGGCAGAGGCACTGTTGCGATGCAGGGGTCTCTGAGCAAAGAGAGTACTAAGAGTGGAGCCTTGTTCTCTTCTCTCCATGAAAGCCCTTGACTCCTGGGAACGTTCATGGAGTTTAGAGGTAGAATATGGCCTGTTGACCCAGGCTTCCACTGGCTCAGGTACTGGCATTTCATTTAACCAGACTTCCTGCCTTTCAAAGGTTATAGCTAGATGGTGGGTTAATGAGTGGGTCTTGCTGATAAAGCAGATAGCCAAAAGCAATACCTGGAGGTTTCTGGCTGCTAACAAGTGAGCTGTGCTTTGGGGCAGCGATCTGAATCCTTTTACCTTGCCTGCAGCTGGTAACTCATGAGATATTGTAGGATGACATAGGATTTGAAAACATTGAGGCTGCTTGACATTGCTTATTTTATTATCTACTATTGTTCTACTACAAACAGTTTCCTGTACTCAGTTTGACACACTGTGGTTTTCGGGGGGGGGTTGGTTTGCAGTTACAGATGACATGTATGCAGAGCAGACTGAGAATCCAGAGAACCCCCTGCGGTGCCCCATAAAGCTCTATGACTTCTACCTCTTCAAATGGTGAGATCTTCTGTCACATGGGGTTGCTTATCTTCCATAAATGTGGACCTAGACTGCATTTTATAGCTGCAGAAAGATAGCTAACTTTGTCTTCGGGACAGTATTTCTCTCTCCTTAATATCAGTACAGTTTGTGTGTATGTTAAATACATTAACTATATAAGGGACTCCTTCAATAGGGGGTGCGTGCCCATAATAGAGGGCAAACTTTGGTCCAAAGCTGCATTAAAAAAAAAAAATCACTAAAATCCTGTTCTGCTCAATATTTGAAGGGGCTAAATCATGAAGTGTGAATTGTCGTAAGTGTTGATCCCAGGGTTTACTTATGACATTAGACATCAGAGCAGTTGAGCTTGTGCAGTTGCCCCTTAGCCCCCAGGTGCACTGATGGCACATGTGATGGAAGTGCCCTCTGCTTTGGATGAGATATTGGCGAGGCCCAGGTGGCGGTAGCCGCAAAAATGGAAGTTTGTTCTGAATATTAGAGATGAGAGAGAGAGGTCTCTTAGTAGCTGCATTTGTATATGCTTCCCTCCTTCATGGACGGCACCATAACTAGCTTACTGGGGTGAAAATGGAGTTTGAGAAGAAAACTGACTCTTAAAAGGCTAAATGGTAACCTTTGGTACCAAGTGAAAGGAGTTTAATCTTTCCTAGTGAATATAGGTCCACGTGATAGCTGGGGGGCCCCTTTATTGTTAACCTTGGCTTAGTCCAGTGGGTGAATGAGTCATTGAGACAGAGCTCCCGTCTTTCCCCAAGAGGAGGACTGTCTAGGGCTGGGTGGGACCCATTGGTAGGAGAAGCTTATCCTACCATTGCCCATAATTGTATCTGTCCTGCAAGTAAACTTCCATAGCTCTCCTAGCCTTGCACCTTTCATCAGCCCAGCATTCACTGTAAGGATTCTTAAAGCCCCAGAATGAATAGGATGATGTTACTTGTTCCAGGACATGTTACTAACCTGCCTGTTTCTGATTTTGTCCCCCCACCCCACCCCTTTCAGCCCCCAGAGTGTGAAAGGCCGGAATGATACATTTTACTTAACTCCGGAGCCGGTGGTAGCCCCTAACAGCCCGATCTGGTATTCCATCCAGCCAATCAGCAGAGAGCAGATGGAGCAGATGCTCACTCGGATCCTGGTGATACGAGAGATTCAGGAAGCTATTGCTGTAGCTAATGCCAGCACCATGCACTAAGGCATCCTTCCCAGCTCAGAAAGGGGTGGGGTGGGGCAGTGCGGTGGGGGGGATGACGAGCAACGATAAATTGTACAGACTTTTACACTAAAGGAGATGCCTACGTTTTGTTTTTTATTGGTGTAGTTATGAAGCCCTTTTAGGCTTCTTCTGTTTAAAAGAATCTAAAAGGAAAACCTACCCAATGTGTATCCTACCAAACACACTGAGCTGTTAGACCCATTGGAGGCTGCATTTCTCTGCCAGCTCAGAGCTGTTGAAACTGCTGGTTGACTTTGGTTTTTTATGATGTAGAAAACAGAACATGAGCTATGGGATTGGCCTGGATGGCTGGGGCCTCTGATGCCTCCTCAGAGCATGTGCAGCCTGGAGAGCGCAGAATGATGGATGGACCTGCTCAGCCAGCCAAGGAGAGGCAGGTGTCTCTCCTTTGTGCTCAGACATTAATTTGCTGTTGTCCTGGAAGGAGGAGGAGAGAGTGAACTGCAATTATGATTTCTAAAAAACAATTTCTATTCAGACCTTTAAGTGACATTTTTAGATGTTAAAAGTAAAAAAAAAAAAACAAAAAAAAACAAAAAAAAACTTTACCACACTCTTCTTTTTTTTGGCCTGACATTGAGGCCTTAAACCTTGAGGCTCCTGTGCCTGATGGAGTTCTTGTACCATACACTTGTGTATCATATAAAGATACCACCCTGTTTCTCTTATGTATTCTTACTCTAGTTGTTTATTAAGAATGACGAGCACGTCTTTTCAACATGCCATTGAACAGTGTGTCTTTATTTGGGGAAGAGCGCAAGAGCTGCAAGAGGGAGCATTTTAAAAAGATCAGTGTAATTGGGTTGTTCTCATCTCCCCCACATATGCTTTTCAGTGTGATTCCCCTTGGACCCTTTTTCTCTTTCCCACACCTCCAAACTTTGAAGGTCTGAAGGAATTCACTCCTGTTAGGGTGTCCACGTCCTCCTTTAGTTTTGCACATTGTGTCAGCCTTTTTCTTCAGTGTAATAACTCACTGAGAGAAACCAGTTTGCTGATAGAACTTCAAGTGTCCAGCTAGGAATGTGGGATTTGCTATTGCACCAGATCAGCTTATTGGTCCATCCAGACGAGTGTCCTGTCTGCAGCAGAGGCCAGTATGTGGGGCTTCAGGCACAGGCAACCTCTCCCCCAGTCCCAAAGCACCTGACCGGTGGCTAGAGGGTTAGGGGAGAAAATGCTTTTCAGGCTGTATGGATGGCTGGCTCGCATATCGGTATTGTGGTTGTATAGTTTCAAGAATTGTCACGGGTCATAATTCTTTTTTAAATCAGACCCATGGTGCCTGCCTCACTGCATCTTCAATGGCTGCTGTATTTTGACATCATAACGTTTCTGGTGGCTTCCAAAGAGAATAGATTGTCCGCTGTGCTCGAAATCAGAGCTCGCTCTCTAGTGAGGCTTGAGGTTATTGAGCTACCAGCTTCTTGGACATGAGGAGGTGACGCTTCTTGAATCTGCCTTCCCCTCTTCTCCCTATATTGCAGTCCTGTAAATGGAAGCTCCTCCATTACTGTCCAAGAGTCTTAAGGCTTCCATTTGTTGCCTCCCTGTTTTACATTTGCAAGTAGGGTGTGTCATCCCTCTGATCTGTACATGTGCACCAGGGATAGAATATACGCCTAAATCAGGACTGTCCATAATGTTACCTGCCCGTGTGCCCTCCTGTTTGATGTGCAGGTATGCCTGGTGAAGACTTCCGGTCCTAGCATGTGATACTTGAGCTTGATGGAAGTCTCCTTGCATCAAACAGTCAAAATACAGATATGCCTGAGAATATGAAAATGAGGAGAGATTTGCTCCTGAAGAGAACTTTTTAAAAGCATAATTTGGTAAGAAATGTTTGGGTAACTGCTGCAGGAAGTCGTGCATCCCCTGTGCAGTGGGTTTGATGCTCCCTCTGTTCTTTACTGACATCAACACCCGGAGAGGTGATTTAAGCAAAGTCCACTGAGTTAGCTCAAGTCCCACCTCAACGACTGCCTGGTTGGTGGTAGTATCTGGCTGAAACGCTAGTTCCCATAGGGCAGAAAAAGAGACTGGGGACAGGTGGAGTGTAAAGCTGCCATCATACCCTCAGCTCAGTGCAGCAGTCAGGAGTATCCGCAGCACTTTTCCTCTGGCAGGGAGGTGTTGGTGTTGGTAACACTTCTTGGTTTGGCTACTATCAGGTGCTATAACCCTGTCACTGTGTTCCAATGCCTGCAGTATTCCCCAGGCTCCAGTTGATTATTTAAGGACATAGTTATGCACTAGGTCGCTGTTGCTCTGTTCAAGGGAGTAGAGACATGCATGTTGTGCTAAGGGTGTCTGGGCCTGCATGGAGCTAATCTCTAGATCACTTGGGTAAACAGCTGTCCTGAATGTTGGATTTGAGAGGGGAGCATCCTGCCTTCTGCACAGAAAGCAAGTGACCTTGAGGAATAAGCATGTGCAGGCTAAACACCCATACTCAAGTCACTGTGCCCTGGAATGCCGCATAGGAAACAATCCAGCCTTCCCAGAGGTCGGAGTGTGCCCATCCACTATTAGTTAAATCTGAGAGCAATATGAAAATGGAAGCTGACTGGCTATTCTTTCCTCTGCCAAGTACTAAGTGGATGGAATAGTTTGATATATGGCTTCACATAACATCTTTGTGTAAGTATAAACTTGCCAGAGCTTGAAACAATTTGGCAGACAGACGAGACCCAGCAATGGAGTAACAAGGGATGTTGCAGGTTAGGACTGAGTTGAGGTACACTGGCAGAGCTATGTGGTCAAGCTGTATGCCATGTTGCTTAAAAATATACCTGATTCTAATGTATTTGTTGCTGTTCACTTGCTACTGTAAAGAGCAAATGAATCAAAAAATGTACCTGGTGGAGAGTCAAGTAATTCTTTAGGATCTCCACTCAGCCTGGAGAAGCACAACTCACTGTAACAGTATCGGGAGTTTAGCAGGCACAGAGGGCCACATAAACCCCTAAATCTTTATTGGGTTTGCCCGAGCAAACGGACTGAGGATTTTCCATCCCTGTCCTCTCTTTGATTTCTCCTGTGTATGGAAGATGAAGGTGTTGACTTGAAGATGTACAGTGTTCTCTACTGTCTGGTATCAAAATGTCTTGTACCAGTTTCATTTCTTAGGAGACTATCCAATATATTGTGCTTTCAGATGACTCCACAGAAGTTGTTTTTCTTCTGCATAGCTGTATGAAACCATGTCTGCAGTATTTCTGGAGTTTAAACTCTGTACCCTCTGATAGTGAAGAGTGATCCAAACTTTCCTTTCTAGAAAGGTCACCCTAAGTCCTTATTTTTAAGGACTCCTGGAAGGAACTCTACCCAGATTAGGCAACAGTGCTCTGTTGGCCTAGGATCTTACCCAGGTCATTGGCAAATCTGCTCCTGGTTAAATGATGTAAAATAGCTCTTTTTAGCATGGTTTTCTGTATCCAGTTTGTTTCCACTCTCTGCTTGAGTTTCAGTGATGGACATTCCATTTAACACCTCTTGAGTACCAAACAACTTGCTGTTGTACATATTTAACCCAGAATTCACTCCCTTCCTTTGCCTTGTATGTGCAGCTGATACAGGGTTAGCCTTGTCTGTTATATCTCAGCTTGGTTAGTTATTTAGTCTGAGGTACCCCTGCATTGTTTGTTTGTTTGTTTTTTTTAATTGTTCTGTGCCCATCTTGTCTCCACAGAAAGTGTAGCAAGATTGAACGTGGCTGCTTTGTGAAGCTTCTTGTGTTCTAACCTCTGACCTCCATGTATTGTCCTCTCTCATGAAATTGCAATATAACTGCTCTCCTACAGGAAACTTAGTCTGTTACACAGACTTGGTGTCCACTGTGCCATCGTGTCCTTATTTCCTTTTTTGGAGGTGATGGTCACTACTGTAAAATTGGAATGACCAAAGTAGCGGAAGACAGCCTGTGGCAAACTATCATCCCCCGGCCCCTTGCTGCAGGGGGAGGGAAGATGATGACAATCTAAGTGTAACTTAATATAGTTCCTTCACTTTTTTTTTTTTTTAATTTCTTGATTCCTAGACTCTTGTGTTTCTGGGAGGAGGTAGGCTCCTGTATGTCTGAAGCTGTTTCCCAAGCATGCTGCCTTGGCCTGATTCGTTGTGTGAGCTAAAACATCCATTTTAGGATCCAGAACCTGAAAGTGACCCTAAACAGGAGTCCTCCTTTGCACCAACCCTCACAGGGTGGAAATGAAAGGGATTGCTCTGACCTAGGAGAGAACAAGTCCATTTGCCCTGGTCAACGTGGAACTGCACAAAAGCTGTGTTCACCATCCCAAGTTCTCTATCTGTTGCTAAATAAAAGAAAGGTGACAGTGCCTGAGAAGAGCCCTTTCCTGTCTGTGTGGGCTGGAGGGTTTTCCTGTGAACGTTCTCACTACCCTTCTGTTTGCTGGACTGTCTTAGGGGTTGCATGATGGCTGCACACTAGGTGTAACCTGTTGAATAATGAAATGGTTAATCTTAATGTTCTGACTCTTACTTCACTGTTAAAATGGGATAGAAACTGCTACAGCCTGTGATGTGGCTGGGAGAAGGGCCCCACACATCCTGAGCTGCTAGGTTCCAACAGCAGCCTACAGAGAGATTGTTTTCCTTCCCCGGATATTTTGAGGAATGCTCCTTGCCCTGTCATTTCAGCCTGTTCCATTTCATTGGAGCCAATGCATAGAAAACATCCAAGCTACTGCTAGCCACACTAACAAGCATCTTCCTACCATAAGGAGCATCTCAAACCCTGTTCCAGGAAGGAATGATTATCGTACTGGGGGTGGGGGATATTAAGCTGCCAAAAGACATGTGATGCAATGGGTGTGGCACTCTGCCTGCCACTCCCTTCCTCCAGTGTGGCTCTGGCACAGCTCAGCACTGCAGTAGACATTTTGCACAGCAGCCACGTTTCCAGTTGCCTGCTTCCATCTGTTCTTGCTACTGAGTTAATCAGGAGGGGTACGGCAGGACTGAGCCCAGCATAAAGAGGGAATAAATTGGGTCTTGGCCTCTAATGAGGGAATGTAAGGAAATAACACATCCCCTACCGACCCTGTATCTCAGTAAGGCTGGTTCGAGTTGCAGCCCAGATCCTCTCTTGGTAATGGTGCAGCCTGCATGCCAGAAATGTCTTGTCCATCCTCCCCTGTTGAATCCTAGTCTGAACAGCATATGTCATTGCCATCCCGCAAAGTGACCTTCCAGCTCGCCAGTAGCTTTTGCCCCGTGAGTTACTCACACTGCAAATCATTTTAAAGAGATGAACTCAAATATTTTTTTAATTTAACTTTACTCTTATACCCTCTGATCTTTGTAATCCCCTTGGAAATGAAATGTCTTTCCCTGCAGCCTTTGTAGTCTGTTTGACAACCATTAAACCTTGCCTTGTGTTTCTAATGGAACAGAAGCTAACTTGCCTGTTTGTTTACTACTTTGTATTCTAGTATCACTGCTGAGGTTAACGTAAATGTGCCTTGCATTGGAATAGGGCAGCTGTACCACCATCGTCCTTTCCTTTAAAACAAAAAAAGACATTCTCACTTCTGCCACTCTTACAGTAGGCAACATTTACTGTTGGTAGAATGTGTCACGCTTTAAAAACAAAAAAAATACATGTCTAAATGCTCTTCTGCCTAAGTGCTCAGTAAGACCAGCTGGAACAACTGCCTTGATGTCACTACTCCAAGCCACTTTTGGTTTGTCAGTCAGGA